TGATGTTGGCCTCTCTCTCATGCTGTCGGGATAAAGCTGCCTTTCAAATCAATCAGCATCCTGCTGCGACAGATGATTTAATGTCCACAGGGGAAAGTGTGGTTATAGATTATAAAGACCGCAGGACACCTCAGGGTTTGCAGACACAACGGTCAGACGAGAAAATGCGTCTCTGCCCTTCCTGACCACATCTCCTTAGCAGAAGATCTGAACACAGATCAAACGCTTCTAAGGAACAGTTCTCAACACGTCAGTGTGAATTTCAAATTGCATTTCAATGTTTTTTGTCTGGCGTCTGTACTTGGTAGATCCATACGCCGGTGAAAAATTAAAAATACCTTTCCTCTGAGTGACCTGTCATGCTCTATTTCTGGGTGACCTTGGACATCATCCATCTCTAACGAACGGTGTCGACTTCTGACGATTCTTGTGCAGTCTCTCTCACCTGTATATAAAAGCACACTTCAGTCACCTGCAGGCGCGAGGCCCTGCTGACGAGAGACGCTCTGGTCCTCAGGTACGGGGCTGTGAAAGAGCGAGAGGCTGGAAGTGGGGCCTGCTCCTCCTCTCTCTCTCCCCCGTGTGCGCTCACAGGGTCGGTCTCTCTGAACGTGCCGAAGACGAGCGGAACGCAACACCCCTGCCTGGACGATGAGAAGAATAACAGGCAATCAAAACACTTAAGGACACCGACCGACTGACCTTGCCAAGAGCGTTCATGAGGTTTCAAACCTAAGTTCGGGAGGAAGGTGAGAGCCGCCGCTCGCCTGCGCTCGTCAGTCTCACACTCAGCACATCTCACACTCCTTCACCGCAGCAGCTCAATCCTCTCCAGCGCACTCTTTACAGTCCAGCTGTGTCATCTGAACCGAAGCAAACCTCGAAAACACGTTTTTACAACATTGTTTCTGTCGATTTTAGCAGTGGTGATGCAAACCTCCAATATAGACAGTTTGAAAACTTCGTCTCTGTTCAACGGAAGTGCAGCAAACGTGTGAATTGGTTTTTAGTTCATTTATTGATCAAACTGTTTCTATCAGCCCTGGATCTGACATGAGCCGAAGCAAAACCGGAGCCACTTTGACACACCGGTATCCTACAATTTCATTAAAAAAACACTTGATATTTACTTCAGAAGGAGGAAATGCAAATATCAACTAAACAAGCCAGCTAGTCAAAGAAACAGCACATTTAAACCAACAAAACTACAATTTCACTCAAAATGTCAGACGCCAACTGAAATTAAAGTGGCCTTCGAGATCAGTTCAGTGAGCTCAATAATAAACTTTTACACGAACAGACCCACAATTTCACCACAAACACATGGAGCTTGTGTCTGTGAAGGTGAAGTGTGAGATGATTCTGTCATCAGGAGGGAGGGCCACAGCAGTACAGCAGAGAGAGCCATCACTGTTACCCACATACTCTCACACCGGTCCCATGTAGAACTGCTGTATTAAACTGTCTGGTGAAGAGACGCGTCTGAGACTTCTCATGATCAGGACAGGTCACAGTAAACATGCAGAAAGTGATGGTGAATTCTCGTTTCGCCTGTGTCTTATTTACGTTGTCAAACATGCCAGTCCGTGTTATTGTGCGTTTTGAAAAGTGGTTGTCGATTTCTTTAAATGTTTCATACAAAAATGCTATTTGGAGAGTAGATATTCCCCTTGACTGAGGATGTGTACAGTCATCCATCAGGACTGGTACATTTAAAAATGACTGGACAGAGAGCCACCTACAGGCGAAAGGCCACATCACAGCAGCAACGTGTGAACAATAAGACTTTAACACCCAAAAACCACAATATCTCCACAACCCCATAAGCACAATGATAAAAAGACTTTTACACAATTTCACCACAAACCCTCCCTGAGCACAATCATAAAGAGACTTTTACACAATTTCACCACAAACTCCCCGAGCACAATTATAAGACACTTTCACACAACTTTACCTTAAACACCCCCGAGCTCAATGATAAAAAGTATTTTACACAATTTTACCTCAATGATAAACAGACACTTTTACACAATTTTACCTCAAACACCCCGAGCACAATAATAAAGACACTTTTACACAATTTTACATCAATGATAAAGACATTTTTACACAATTTCACCAAAAATCCCGCGAGCTCAATGATAGACACTTTTACACGATTTCACCACAACCCCCTTGGGCATGATAAAAATACAATTTTACCTCAATGATAGACACTTTTACACAATTTCTCCACAAACCCCCCGAACACAATAATAAAAATACAGTTTTATACAATTTCACCACAAACCCCCCAAGCTCAATTATTAAGACACTTTTACACAATTTGACCACAACCCCATGGAGCACAATGATAAAAATATTATTTTACCTCTATGATAGACACTTTTACACAATTTCACCTCAAAACACCTCGAGCTCAATAATAAAAAGACACTTTTACACAACTTCACCACAAAACCCCCGAGCTCAATGACAAAGACACTGTTACACAATTTCACCACAAACCCCCCGAGCTCAATGACAAAGACACTGTTACACAATTTCACCACAAACCCCTCGAGCATGATGATAAACTTTTACACAATTTTACCTCAAACCCCTCGAGCTCAATGATAAAAAGTATTTTACACAATTTTACCTCGATGATAAACAGACACTGTTACACAATTTCACCTCAAACCCCTCGAGCTCAATGATAAAAAGACACTTTTACACAATTTCACCACAAAAGCCCCGAGCACAATGATAAAAAGACACTTTTACACAATTTCACCACAACCCCCCCGAGCACAATGAAAAAAGAAACTTTTTTACAATTTCACCACAAACCCCCTGAGCTCATTAATAGACACTTTTGGACGATTTCACCTCAAACGCCGTGAGCATTAAGATAAAAAGACACTTTTACACAATTTCACCACAAATACCGCGAGCTCAAAGATAAAAAGACACTTTTACACAATTTTACCTCAAACCCCACGAGCTCAATGATAGACACTTTTACACAATTTCACCACAACCCCCCAGAGCACAATGAAAAGACACTTTTACACAATTTCACCACAAACACCCCGAGCACAATGATAAAAAGACACTTTTACACGATTTCACCTCAAACAGCTCGAGCTCAATAAAAGACACTTTCACACAAATTCACCACAAACCCCTGGAGCACAATAATAAACAGACACTTTTACACAATTTCACCACAAACATCCTGAGCTCAATGATCAAGACACTTTTACACAATTTCACCTCAAACCCCCCAACCTCAATAATAAACAGACACTTTTACACAGTTTCACCACAAACACCCTGAGCTCAATGATAAAAACACACTTGTACACAATGATAAAGATTTTTACACAACTTTATCAAAAACCACCCGAGCACAATGATAACAGACACTTTTACACAATTTCACCACAACCCCCCCGAGCTCAAAGATAAAAAGACACTTTTGCACAATTTTATCTTCGACACGCACATCACATTCTCTCCACTGCACATATCATTTCCATACCTCCTCCCTCCTCATCCAACTTCTCTGGTTCCCTTCTCTCCAGCTTCTCTCTTCTTGACTCAGCATCCCTCAA